TTATAATAATATAGAAATTTTACTAAACTTAGTTAGGACTCTAGGTTTCTTAAATAAAAATTTCCCAAATATTTATTTAAATTTACGGTCACAGAATCTTTAGGAATTATAATAACTTCTATTAATATATGCCTATGCATTTTCTACTTAGGGTATGTTTGGTAAGCCAAATAAGTTAATTTTTAGCTTATTTGGTTAGCTTATAAGCTCTCTGTTTAAAATAAGCCTCGTTTGGTACGACGAGCTTTTTTAAAAAGCTCGAGCTTATTTTATAAGCTACTTTAGGTAGCTTTTCAAATAAGCTAGTTGAAATTTTTTATTTCAGCTAACTTATCAGCTAATTTACCAAACACCTTTTATCATATAAGCTAGCTTTTCAACTATAAGTCATAAGCTATAAGCTATAAGCTCAAAAATTACATATAAGCATTAAGCTAGCTTATCAGCTATCAGCTAGCTTATCAGCTAATTTTACCAAACATAGTCTTAAAGGCATGTGACAAACACGTGCAACAAAATTTGTTTGGTAGGTCATCAATTATTTGATTATAAGGCTATTAAACTATTTGACTCATAAAATACATAGTTAATTTTTATTTGATAAAAATATACATTTATTTTATAAAATGTCATACTTAAAATTTATATTAGTCTTTTATTTTTAAGGACCCATCCTTAAAAATTCAACCTACAAATATTGACTTTGTTTATTTTCTAATGGAAAAATAGAATAATAAAAAGAAGAAAAGAAAAGAAAAAAAAAATTAAAACTGGAGGGTGCAGGGGGTAGGGTATCTAGGGTGCACCTAACCCCACCCTTGCTAATTAATTTACATAAAACTGCACATTTATGATTATTATAATTACTAGTACAACACCCGTGTATTACACGGGTGCTTGCTAATTTTTTTCTTAAAATTTAAAATTAATGAGAAAAAGTAGTTTGAAAATTTAAATACCTTTTATAAGAATATATATATATATTATATATTTATTATGATACTTTTTATTTGTGCGACTTACTTGTGTTATATTATACTAATTCTTTAACTTACACTATATAATTACATTAAATATAAATATAACAATTGAGAAATAATTTTATTTTTCTAATAAATTTTAATAAATATTATTATTTTTTATTATTATAAAGATAAATATAATTTATTTATTT